GAATTTGAAGCAGATGTGTGTGACTAGAGCCTGAGGTTTCTTTGATGTTTCTGGCATGGTGTTTGAACTTACAGAATGGCGTCTGCAATAAAGGTGGGGAAGACAAGATACAATAGTGAAGAACTTGAAAGACAGTGGGGAAAAAGACAGAATCACTTTTGTTTACAAAATAGCAAATTAGGTACATCTCAGAATAACTACATACACATGCAGTTCTATGCCAGTTTGATAGCAATACAAATCTTTCAGTCCTTTCAGCTCAACCAGAGTGCATATCATCTTCCTGGGGGACAAGTCTCTCCTCCTCTAATCTGTGGTGTGCTACGTGCCCAGGGGTCTCTTAGCCTCCCAGTCCAGTCCTGCATCATCTGCTCTATTGGTTTCCTCTGTTCTGGCAGAGCGCGTTCCTGTTTTTCAGTACCTCCCGAGAAAGGATATCTGTAGGAAGGAAGTTTGTGGAAACTTTGAGGATTTGTAAGTGTTTATTGTGTAGAATTTTTATTATTCCTTCGAAAGCTGGAAAACTTGGCTTTCTAGGTCTCTATTTATGATGTTGATATTGAATTCTGGAGCCTTTCTGATTCCAGTTTCTTTGGGTATGACTTGTTTCATTTTATTTTTATTTTGGGATTCATAGAGATTCTTTGCTTTTCTCTTTAGTATTCTGAAATTTTGTGCTGATATTTTGTGGTTTGGATCCTGCCTTAACTATATATGCTTGATCTTTTCAACTTGAAAACTCTGGCTTCAATTCTGGGAATTTTTCTTGAATATCAGTGTTTGTTTGATGTCTCTGTCTTTTCCTTATTGTCCTTCTGAAACTCTTACCTTTGGGTCTATGGGACCACTTTGACTGACATCAGAAAAGTTTTCTTTTTCCTTCTACCTCATGTCTTGTGTCTGTTTTCTCACAACTTTTGTTTGACTTTTGATAATAACTTTTGAGTCTTTGATTTGTGCTTTCTTGGTTCTAATTTAGCTCTAAGAGCATTACTGAAATATAATTTCCTATCGTGAACCCCACCCTTTTAATGTGTGCAGTCAGTGATCATAAGTGTATTCATAGGATTGCACAGTCATCACCACTGTGAAACATTTTCACTGCCCTCTCAGAAAACTGCATGCCAACAGCTTTGCTCCAGTCCCTTATAAACAAACACTAGTCTTTCCATCTCTCTGAGTTCATCTGTTACAATCAGTTCATATAAATGGACTCAGGACACACAGTCTTTTGTAACTGGCTTCTTTATGTAGCATAATATTTTAAAAGTTCACCCATGCTGTAGCATGATGTACAATCCATTCTTCACTATCTAGTGATACTGTAGGACTCCATAGTGTTGTGTCTGTCCTTATTTCACCCCTCGATGGACAGTAAGTTCACTTCTTGGCTAGTGTAAATATTGGCACTATAAGAGTTCGTGTATAAGTTTGATATGGACATATCCTTTCAGTTCTCTTGGCTTTGTACCTAGGAGTGTGACTGCTTGATCATAGCTAACTGTTTAATATTTGGAGTAACTGGCAAACTAATTTCTATAGAATGCGCCATTTTACATTCCCACCAGCAGAATATAAAGTTCCAATTTCTCCACATCCTCACCAATACTCATTACTGTCCATCTTTCTGTTTTAGCCATCCTAATAGGTGTTAATATCTTTGATTTTTAAGCGTATTTTCTCCTCCAATTTCAGGGTCCTCAGCTTTTGGTTTCATGAATAGAGAATCATTTGTTGTATGTTATTTTAATACGATCTTGGACGTTTTCTTCAGATTTTGGCTGCTTTTGCTTGTTCCAGTCTTCCCCTTTGGTGTGGCAAGCTTGTGGTGCTGTCCATACTGAGTGTTAGTCCTGATGTGTGAACGGCAGGCTGTGCCTTGTTCTAGGATGGTCTGGTCAGGCTGTTTACTGGTGGAAGAATAGCTGGCTTCAGTACTATTGATCCCATAGCAGGGTACAGGACAGAAGGACTGCTTGCTCTGTCTAGAAGCTTAATGATGAGAAACTTGTGGCCCATGTCAGATCAGTGTGCCTAGGTTCACTTAATCACTTTGCTTTGGTGCCGTGTCTAACCCCAGGTGATCCCTGTGTGTCCTGGTGAGACATCTTTAAAAACCAGGCTTCCTGCTGGATGCTAGAGGGCCAGTTTCCCGAGGCATTGTGCTGAGTTGGGGATTGGAGTTCAGTGCTTGACTGAAAGCTTTGAACTCATGCTTTTTAGTTCCAGTCTCTATCACCTTTCTCCGAGAAGGACCTGGTCCCCGATTCCCACGCTTGTTGGAGTTTTGCAGGACAGGTTGTCGCTTTCTCCACTGTGGCTTTCTTGTGTGCTTCGTCAGTGTTCTCAAATCTGGCTTCCAGTACGCATATGTCTTCTGACCTCTTTTCTTGACCTAGTCAGTTTTGCATCTTGAGAAAAATTTGTAGTTTTAAATGATTTTAGGGAGAGAATAAAGGCAGATTCTGTATCCACACTCTCTCCCCCAAAAATCTGAAAGAGAGGCCACCTGTGTGACTTTATTTTAACCTGGTCATACCTACAACGACTCTACTTCCAAATAAAGGAAGGGAGGGGTGGCTGCTAGGATGCAGCATGCAGTTTGGGGATGGGACGCTCTTCAACCTACAATTAATGGCGACCCAGCAGTTCTCTATCTAGGAAACTGCTATCGTACCTCAGAGATGTTCATGGTTTACCTCCTCACGCCTTCTGAGTAAGGAAAAGCCGTCCCGATTTTCCGGATCGTGTGGAATGTTACTGAGAATGCCGGTGCAGTGCAAAGGCACACAGTCACATGGCGCATGAGCACAATGAAGGAGATGCCTCGGTTGGGTACTGACAGATCGGGTCCAGCCAGCCTCAATATGGCTAATACAGTGCTGTGCTTATATCAGGGACGGGAGGCTGCTCCAGTATTAGGGGATCTGTTGTGACCTAATGCACTAACTAATAAGTAAAAGGAGAGAATAAAACACATTAATACATTCCCATTGGTGTGAGCCACTAGTGGTACGAAAGGATCGAATCACTTTCATTGATCTTTTTACTAATACATTTAATAACTAGCCTATAAATGGACTGAATCTAGTTGCTTGATTTTGAATAATTACTGCCAAAATGTAAATATTGATTAATACTATTCATAACAATTTAAAATTATTACAATCATCAGCAAATTTATTTCACAAAATTAAAAGAAATTTATATTCATGGATATTTTGTCAATAATTCTCTAAATTTTAACATAGAAATCTTACAACACCCATTGCTAGTGTATATAATATACATTTACAACTGCTGTACCATAGATTAGTTGTGTTACAGTTCTTTATTCCATTTGAATGTTTTTGTTGAACTGTAATATCACATCTGGTCTGCTAAATCGATGCCCCTTTTTTTGCATTATTGTAACCACAGACTCCCTGAGCCACGCAATGGGATAGCCATACTTTTATGACCACCCAGACGTGAAACGTATGAATTACAGCTCTGTCATGAACATGTTAAACTAAATATTCTCTGGGTGGTGGCCTGCTATTTAAGGTCAGCATTAAATATGTTTTGTAAATACATGGCCTGCTCCTGCAATACCCAGTTTGGACTTCGTCCTCGGGAAAACTAGAAGAGTTTCTTAAAGGAATCGGCAAGAAAATCCATTGCATGCTTAGGAAACACTGAAAAGTACTAAATTCAGTAGACAGTTGGCATATTGATTACGTCCACATGTAGTTCCATGTGCTGTAAGCATTCAGGAATGTTACGAGAATTTTAAAGAAATTTTGGCAAGGGGTTGGATTGCGAGAGAACACATACTTTTTGCTTTATAGATCTTAACATGAGGATTTTTTGTTTTAATATATGTGTTAGTATAACTGCAAAGAAAATGCATTATAGCATAAGTGAAAAAACTATACTATCAAGATCAATTGAGTTATCTAGAAAAATGTTTTTGTGGGATACTCAGTGAAAATTGAACACAGTTTGGATAATATAAATTTAATGTGAAAAAATCAGTGTGGTTATGATACTAGAGAAAAAATATGAAAATATTACATCTCCCAGCCTGTTCAATGTGTGATACACTCTAAGAATTGAAGAGTAGGAAGTTCCAGGGGGAAACGAACAAGTATGCATGGAAAGAGCAAAGACTTCTAGGGTCCAGAGGTCTCTGCTTACCCACTGGGGTGACTGGTGTCTATCTAGGCTCCATCAGGCCTGGTGTTTGACCTTTGAGGAGGTGTGCGGGCCTGGTCATCTCATGTTTATCTTCATTCCCTGTCTCGGGCTGCAGCTGTGATGTGTTACACCTTTGTCCTGCCTCTCTGGTGGGCAGGGCCCTGTCTGACTGCCTGTCATATTTCTACCTAACTTAGATGCCTGTAATAGATATGTTTAAAACTCTGTTGTAACTCTGTAGTTGTTTCCTGAAGAAAAGGGGAGACAATAAAGGAAAGAATCCTTTAAAGAAAAAATTCAGTTTGTTTTTAAATCTTAGGAACATTTGAACAATGTAATAATAATGTTTTCCTTTTCAAGTTGATAGTAGTAATTTAGAAACAAAATTGCGGTTGGTCCCTAACGTATAATACAGATCCTGAATTTTTCACTTAGTGTGTCCTCATTGTAATATTTTTATTTGCCTTAGTCTGTTTACTTATTATTTTATAACTTTCTGGTGCTCTTAATTCCTTTCAAACACAAGCAGGGTAAAAACTGATGGTTATTAGTCAGTGACCTAAAATAGTTACTAGTTCCTGAACTCTGGTTTAGTGCCTGCCGTAAAAGTGTTCCCATGAAGAGTTCAGGGGAAGAACATGGGCCGGAGGGGTGTATGTGTGTGTGTGTGTGTGTGTGTACACACAATATAAATTATAGACTTACAGATTTCTATGTTTTAAATATATTAAACCAGGTGTTTATATTTTATAATGTGTTACAGAAAATAATCACATTTAAAGTAGTTAAAATGTAAGTCTTTCTGTCCTTTTTTCTTTCAGAACTTAAACGAATATGTTGAAGCATTAATTACCTTGAAACAAAAAATTATCAATACTGAGTAAGTATAATTGCACGTTTGGCAGACTTTGTAACCCTGATGAACCGGCTGAAGCGAGTTGGGTTGAAAGCCCCCAGGGCTGGCCTGATTCCTGGTACTGATTGCAGCAAACTCCGCCAGGCTGGCAGCTGGCTGGGCCTTTGATGAGTGGCCCACAGGCCTTCACAAAGGAATTCTGGGGTCAGCGGGATATTACTTTTGCTGCATTGGAATTTTCCTTAAAGCTCTTTTCTGTCTTAAGCATCTTCTTACTTTTACAATGGATGTCACATTTTCTCACAGTATTTTATAGCCCCAGTATGAAATTTAATTATTTGTAATGGCCTTATGAATTTATAGGCCAAGATGCTATTTACATGAAAAAGATTTTAATCTAAAAGCTCATCTATCACTACAGTGCTTTGGAGAATTTAAATTGATATATATGTATATATATGTATATGTATATCTATATATCTATCTATAGATATTTATATTTAGCATGCATTTGTTGATGGATATGTGGGAAGAGAGGCCCCTTGTGTGATTTGAAATACACCTGACGTGGTGTATTTTCTACATCAAAAATAACCTAGTTCTTTTCTTTGTTTCAGCAATTTGTTAACAGAATATCAGAAGAAATGTGATGATATCCTTTTACTTTTGAATTTTGAATTCTCTTAAATTGTGGAATTTACTTATGTGCAATTCCTGAAAGCAATGTGGGAAGTGTGAAAGAGATTTCCAAAGCCATGTTTTGGGAGGTGGTGTTTGGGCTGCTGGAGGAGCGCCTCTCACAAGCCCTGTTAGCTGGTCCCGCTTTCGCTGTCAGTGTGCTGATGACAAGCGATTCTGTCGCTGCTCCTGATCCCTTAAGGTCTTGGCAGCTCTTCAGTGGAAGGCTTTTTTCATGTGTACAGAGGATGTGGCGTCACAGGATGTGTCCTTTAGGCTTAGGCGTAGGCATAACTGGAATGGCACTTTCTTAGTGTTATTTTTGAAGTGCAAGAAATGCACTGTGAGAACACTGAAAATGTGAGCAAATGGAGTTCTTAATCATTCTTGTGATTTGTAGAGAATTAGCCTGTACATCCAAGATCTTACAGAAGTAGTAATAGCTGTATGTGCTTGAGCTGAACCTTGAAGGATCGGGGGAGAGTTCTCGGCCTGAGAGTGAGCATTTGCTCAGAAAGCATTTAGCAAGCACTGTGTGGGAGCCAGCGTGGTGTGGTAAATATTTTTCTTAGCCATGAGAGAAAGGTGATCCCTCCAGGTATCTTGTGGTGATAACGCTTGCTTTCCTTTAAGCCCCTCTAAAAAAAATGTAAAATTTCTCATACAAAAATAAATACATCTACCTAGAGAGGTGGGAGTGCAGCTTTATTTCAAGGGTCAGGATGGATCCTTCGGTCCCTGCAGTCGAATCCAGAGTACTTAGGGCTGACACAGGCCTGCTGCGGGGGTGGGGTGGGGGTGGGGGTGTCCCGTTTCTGGCACACCTGAACTTACGTATGTGTGATCAGAGTAATAAAACCCAGACTTTAGTAATTAGCTTTATTTTTGGTATCTGACCTTTTACATTAAAACGTAGAAGTCATTGGAATTTTTCCCTGTGATTTGGTATGTCAGTTCCTTTTCCTTTAAATGTGAGTGCCTGTCATTACAAGGATATTATTTTTAATTGATTGTATAAGCTGTATAGAAACAATTATGACAAGTACTTTTAGGTCGCTAAATAAGGAAACAATTCCAGTATTAGGTGAGTATGTGTTCATTGTATGCCTTTTGGAGAAATGGTGTAAACTTTGTGAGGGAATTACATATTTAATCCAGCAAGAAAATTAGAGGGTTTCTCTTCTGAGATTTGCCAACAAAAATGCTTAAGTAAAAATTATGACAATAATTATTTTAAACAAATAGAACTTTCAGTTACTCTTCAGTTCCAGGATTTTGTTCTGTAATGTGATATTTGGCCTCAGCCACAGATAAATACTGATCTTTTAAAGTGCATTTGACATTTGCTACCAATACATATTTATTATACCTCAAAAATACAGTCACAGTTCAACTGTTCTACAGTTGAGGTGCCAGTGTCACAGGTCTAATATGGCTTTCTTACATAATTTGGTTCTTTTTGTTACTAAAGTAGCACAGATTTTGGTGTTTTTCTTTCAAAGTGAGAAAATTATTTCTTCAAGAACTGCTTGATAATTCAGCATTATTTCAGCTTTTAAATTCTGACTATTGTTTATTAGTCACATCTTTCTAAAGAGTAGGGGATATTATTTATCAGATATTTGAACTTGTGTGCTGTAAAGACTGCTCTCATTTAGGAAGAATAAAATATACTTCCTGACATTAAGCTTACACGGTAACAGCAGATGTTGTGGCCAACTTGTTTACAAACATGCTGTACTTACTGTACCGTGAGGAAAATAAATATAGCAGTTTCTAGGTGATGAAACTTAAAGCTATTATTTTTTGCTATCTTCAAATATTTCACTGTCAGAATGAGGCAGAACAGTGAGGTTATCAAATTGCCTAAATAATAAAAATGAAGGTTTTTTTAGTTTTTTGTTCTTCATTTCTTTTTAATTACTTAGTATGTAGTTATATACGGCTTCTGTAAGTACATATATAACTCTTGTCTGCTGGAATTGTCCTCTGGAGATTTGAGAAATGAAGGACAGGTTGTTGGAGATTCTGATATATACAGAGATGAAGGTATTTTTCAGGACCTTGCGCTTGTGAGGCAGATGGCGGCACCACTGAGCTAAATCCCAGGCTGAACGTATTTTCGATTAGTTTCATATTGCTTTGTCTTTATTCTTATAATTTTAATCAGTCACATAATTTATTCACAAGGCTTTTTGAATAGATATTTTGACTTTGGCTTATGTTGCAGTAAATAGGAATAACTCAGTAAAATGAATTACTATGTTATTATAGATGGGACCATGAATATTGTTTTTTATGTTATGATCTTGCCTGTGTGTACATTGAGCATAGAATCTTAAAGGTAATTATAAAGTGAATTTTATCTCCGGACAAGTATCACAAGATTGAGTTTTCAATGTTTTCCTTAATAAGTTTCACAGTTGCAGTTTGCAAGAAGGTGAGCCAGCCTGAGCATGCTTTTACCGTTGATGAGATGGTTTGTCACAGTACTTGATTTGGAATGGATGCATTATGCCAGATTCTTTTAATAGATTCTAACAAAGAGGACGTAGACGACCCTTAAAAGAGAATGTTGCTTTGATGCTCATAGTAAAGGAAGACTGGTATTTTCCTAAGATCGGATCATTCAAATGAGTTTATTACTGAGGCTTTTTAAGCCTAGTGTCTCACTTTTCGGTACCTTTTAGTGACTACATTGCCCTTGACAGGAAGCTTACTGCTCTCACATTGCCGTTATCCACATGAATCTGACTTCTCGTGGTTATCGGGTCATTTTAAACAATTTAAATGGACCTACTTAAAATTTTAGTGTTTCATGCTGATTGCATTTATCAGTTACAAGAAGGTGAAATGTGGTTAAAAACCAAATCACAAAACTGCGTATCACTTAGTTTGAATAAATAAGTTCCAGATTGGAAGTTCAGCACATAGGTCTTGAAAATCTTCAGCAGACCGGAAGTGAGGCGTACTTGTTTCTCAAGTTACTTTTTGATACATTTTTGTCAAAAGTAGCCTATTCCCAAGAAATGTAAAGCAGTACCAAAGTCACGTTAGTAATAAATAGATGGAATGTGTTTGAAAGAGATTTCATAAATGTCCTTGTTCCCAGTTAGAAATCTCAGACCATGAGAAAGTGTACGTAGCAATTCACTGTAATACCTTTGCATAACGCTGTTGATGGGCCGTCCGTTTTTAGAGAGAACAGCACTCTGCATCATCAAGTGGAACAGATGCTTCAGAAAATTTCTCCTCTGCAGAAATGTCAGGAAGAATTGGGATCTTTAAAAGCAGAGCTGGAAGAGAAAAAGGTAACAAGTCCTTTTCCTGCAAGTTTATTGTTATCAGTGAGGATTGGCTCACGCACTGTCCCTGGGACAGGGCACTTTTCACGTCCTAAAGTAAACACTAGTCAGGGCTCTCGCTGTTCTCAGGGAACACTGGACTGGCTGATGAGGTGTTTAACAGCGGTGATGAGCTCTTCGTTACTGTGTTACTTCTTACGCTTTTTGAGAGGGTCAGTAGTGAATTTTTATGTTTTTTGTGTCCTGCCTTGATTCTTTTTCACAATTCCCTTGCCTTAAGTGTGAAAAAGCATGCAAAAGTCCATTTCAGAGGTAGGAGAATCTGCGTGGCACAGAAGGCAGGAGAGAATTTGGTCCCTTCTTGGTGCTGGCCTCTCTGGTCAGCCTAGTGGTGAGCGAAGCTCTAGGGCCTCTGCTGTGGTGCGTGTTCCTGTGTCCTTACAGAGCCTGCGCTCATGTTCATGAACCAGTCATTGCTTCTTTGCTCAATAGTCCTATACATGCAGCCCTGCTGGCATGGTCAGATCACTGTCTGAAATTTCTTACTCTTTTCTTCACAGTCTCCTTTGGTGCTTTGTGATTCCCTGCTGTCTGTGAGGGGTACTCAGAGTGAGTCTCTCAGTACTGTATCGCAAGCTGTTGCAGCTAAGTGCTTGGTTAGAGGCAGTTTCCTGGACTTAAGGGGATGCGTTTGCTTTTTGGAGTGGTACTTTTTACACCCAAGTAAAGCCTTGGGAAAGGCACCACTTAAAATTCTGATAGTTATCCTTTAATGGAGGCTATTTTCCTTTTCAAAATCAAGTTGCTGGAAAATAGTTTGTTTAAAATGCTATTAAATTATTTAACTTGCTTTTCAGTGTAAATTTCATTTTACTCTTCATAGTAATTTTGAAAGAGAGTTCCTGATTTTTACAAATGAAAATGTCTGAAACCCATGAAGTTAGACGCTTGGCAGGAGACTGGTTGTAGCAGCCCTGGAATGATTCGCCTTCCTAGCCTGTCCTCTGACTGATAGGAGGTATTTGCGCCTCCTGGTCATCCTCATGTTGTGCTATTTCAGTAGAGAGATGTGGCTGAGGACTTATATGTATGAATAGCACATTTTTGTGTTTATTTTTGTAGAAATTCTTCAATATGTGTGTATGAGTAAAAGTTAAACAGAAATAATCACAATATTCAATCTTATCTAGCCCTGACTATACAATCTCTTCATCCATGTCTGAGAAGAACCGTGAACGTTGGAGTCAGACCTCAGTGAAAAACCCTAACTCAGTGGTGGCAAAACCGTGGCACACCTGTCCCCGCAGGCTGTCTGTGTCATTGGAGTTTCTGAAAGGTTCTCCATCACTGCCCTCACTAGTCACCCAGTCATTGGCGTTGGAAGAATAAGTCAGTCTCTCAAAACCGTGGACTCTTCTCGCTAAAGGGGTTGGTGAAGCCAGTTTCAGAAGTAGTCATGCAATGTCACACTGTCACGTGACCCTCCGTAAACACATCTTTCCCAGGCCGTTGGCCGTCAGGGTGTATATGCTTGTATTCACATATTTTCTCTAGTGAGTATTAAGTTTAGTGATTTGTTTTGGTTTTCCACAGTAATATCTTTAACTAATATTAACTGCAATCTCTAAATTTCTTCAGGTTATATTGAATTTTGGTTGAGACAAAATAATTAGCTATTTTATATTTAAACCAATTATTTTGTAGATTTGTAATTTCTTAAAATTAGTGCTTTAAGTTTTGTAGCTTTTGTTTGAATTATATTCATTAAGAATCTAGTTGTACTCATTAAAATGTTCAGTGAATAGTATTCTGGTTTCCTCACAATGTATATATTCATTTGGTTGGTATCGTACCATTACAGTTTGACATTTGAGCTTACTAAGATCAAAACAAATTAAAGCCAGTGGCCGTTGAGTTTCTCTGTTTATTGTTCTCTTTAGAGCTCTCTGAAGTTGTATCAGGACACTCACCAGGAATGTGCTCGTGTAAAGGAGGAATGCTTGAAAACCGACGCACAGTAAGTAGCCCGGAAGTCACCGGGGACATGGGGTGCTCATCTGTGAGACTAGGTAGTTCTAGTCAGTGGTGTTTTCTTCTGTCTGGACTTGTTTGTCTATCATTAGCTGTGCAGTCTTGAATTAGTCTATCAGTCTTGATTTCTACCTCTATAAAATGGGAATTATACCTATTCTGGGGGACTGTAAGGATTAAAAACTTACCAAAGTTAAAGGACTTCACAAAGCTATCCATAAAAGTTTTGAGGTCTTTACATATGCATGCATGCATGCGTGTGTGGCTGTGTAGATATGTTAATGTGGGTTCCTTTTTTTTTGTGCCAACACTTAGCAGATCCCAGATGGGATGGATATCCTTGTTACTATTAATTAAAAGGGGTGTTAAAGGCTCTTTGTTGATTATTTTGAGGTTTGATACCATATTCATGTTACTAGCAAGCAAATACGCTGAGATTGTGAGTGTGACACAAGCAGTAGTTGCCTGTGGGTGTGCAGCAGGACAATTTCTCGGGGAGTTACAGTCCTTCCTAGACTCGGAACTCCATTTTAAAGCAGTGACCGTTCTCAAACGCTGCCTGTCAGGTGGGGCTGTGCACACTCACCCCACACGTGCACACCCCTGAACAGTCAACTACTAACTAAGTGCTGGACTGACCCTGGGAGTCTGTGTGGCCGTGGCGAGCCTTGCGGTAGGCTAACAGGTGATGTCTCTGCCCTTTACGGCTGGATCCAGATGTGCTTGTGGCAGGGCCAGCATGGGTCTGTAGCGTGTTTCTCCTGTGGAAAAGACAGATTTCCATAAATCCGTTTCAGAAATACGACTCGTTAAATGGCAGTGTCCTTGCTTGGTTTATTGGACCATCAGAACAAAGGCCGGTAATTTCAGTTGCTGACATGTGGTACTAGTTGTGACTGAACGTTTCTGTTGCACAGATCTCAGGAATTAAAGTACACACCATGGGACACCATGTTCTTGTTTTGTATGTCACTCTGTGTTTTGCTGTTTAACTTATATACTTCTTTTATTAGAAAGAAGAAACTGGAAGCTAAAGTGAAGAAGCTGGAAGGTAGGTTACACCGTCACTGCCTGGCTGGTGGGAGCCACTGGTTCCTGTGCACCCGGGTACCTGTGTGAGGCTGTAGGTGAAGGGGTTGTGGAGGTGGGTGGTGCTTCCCTGGAGGACGTCACAGGGTGTGGGAGAGAGGGCTCTGCCTGTTTGCATTCCTGCCAGTGACCCGACCAGGATGTGGAGGTGGAGTGTGGCAGTCCCCAAAATAGCACTGCACTCATAGTAATCGCAGCGGGTGATGAGATGATTGAGTTGTGAAAATTGGACCTGTGGGGCTTTCCTGCTTTGCCGTAGTGAACCTAAGAGATTACTGGAAGGGGTTGCTAATTTTAGTATCAAAAAATGGAAGCATTTAGATAGATATGATGCACCCACAGAGGTTTTGATGGACTTTTGTGCCCTGGGGACTGTCCAGATTATTCTGGTCTTTCCCATACCACACTGCCTTTTAAGATGAAGGAATTGTGGTCATTATATCATATATTTGTGTGTGTGTGTGTGTGTGTACTGGGGATTGCATTTGGGACCTTGCGCTTTCCAGGCACACAGTGGTACCACTGAGCTAAACCTGTGGCCACACAGAACTCATTCTCTTGCTAGGGGCAGGTAGGCCACATGAGGAGGCAGAGTGCAGAAGGGCTGCACAGCAGTCCTGGGTCCTCTCCTTCCAGCCCACGTCCTTTCGGGATCTGTAATGGGGTCCGAGACCATTTTGTTTGCTTTCTCTCTGTTTCTTGTACGGTGGGGTTTGGACACAATACGAAGTAGAAACAAACAGGCACTGCCTTCCCCATCCCTGCACATCTTTTCTGTTAGCCAGCCCCATCTGAGCATCACATCGGTGGTGCCTGTTGCAGAGATAGCGTGCCTTTTGTGTGTGTGTGTGAAGGAAGAGTGCAGGGTTAGCTGCCGTAGGCCAGATAGAGCAGTAGTTGCTGAAGGAATCCCTGTCACTAATTTGTCTAAATTGAACCAAACTTTTTGGAGTTTACCTTGTAAATGTCTTCAGGGACTTTTCCTCTGATTTGATTGTGCAGGGCTGTGGAGAGTGGGTGGTAATGTGGCACTGCTGTGTTCCTTCTGAGCCTTTCCTTCTGCTAGATGAGTGTCTAACAAGCGGTTCCTAGGGCCCAGTGAAGTGTCTGTGATGCTGCAAACAAGCACAGGCTTCCTGTGAGGCAAAGTGCAGCCTGTGTGTTTCATGTAAAACATGTATTGCCTTCCTAAATAACTCAGCGTAATAAAGATTATTGAGGAAAGAAATACTAAAACTTGTCAGATAAGTCAGGAGAGAATTGCTACGGTGGTGTTTTGTGATGCTGGTTTTCTCAGCAGTTGTGTTTGAGCACATCTGTGGAAAGTCAGGACTGGTCAGAAGCCTGAGAGGTTGTAGACCAGTTGGTGCTTCAGGACCCACAGTGGAATGAACTGTACAAGTACCTAGAGACTCGACCTGTATACAGCTATTTGGAATTAGAATTAATTTGTGAAAGGGAATTCTGCGAAAGATAACAACATCTGCAGTGAACATCAAGAAAGCTGTCTCCTCACTAGGAGACGGAGAGGAAGGTGTTAACAAATTCCGAGATGAAATCACAGTACTGAAGTCCCAAGATTGTTGTACTCACTGGAATGAGAAGAGCAGGTGGTGCCCAGGCATCGCCCTTAGATTCTAGCCTGGCTGGGTGAAAGGATCAGGACCGCTGTGCCTGTTGGACAGGACCCTAGCAATTGTGTAGCAATCGTGTAGTTTCACAAGTGGCTAAGACAAAGCATTCCTGTGTGTGGCCCTGTCGCACACAGTACTAAAGGAGCAGTAGCTGTCGGTGACATTTGTTCCTAAGTTTTAAGAAATGAGAAAAACTTGTAATAGGTTACATTTTGGTTGTTCATTAACTGTTATAGTAAAGTTAAGCTATTTATCTCTCTCTGTTGTTTCATTGCTCTTTGAAATACAGAGGCTGCTGTCAAGCAAACTCAGGACTTCAAGCAACTGAGAAGTGAAAAGAAAATACTTGAAAAGGAATTTAAGAAGACACAGGTACTAGATAAACACTGAACACACACTTGGCTCCAGGGCGGGCGTCGTGTGCTGTGGCTGCAGCGGGAGTCAGGCTCAGGGACCCTCGGTGACCACTCACTGCGGCCTGCTCGGGGCCCAGTGTCTGACCTCATGCAGCATAAACCCCTCTGCTGCTTTGTTTCCACAGGAAAGGCTCGATGAGTTTTCCAAACAAAAAAGGGAAAAGGGTGAGTATTCAGTTCATGCTTATTTTAAATTCTGTCTTGAAAATCGGTGTTTTTAACTGTTTTTCCCATATTTTTAGAATTGAGACATATTGGAACACAAATTTCAAGTGATTCGTATGGAAGCATAGACAGAAGTAAGTGTGCTCCGACTTTTGTTTTTGTTCTGTATACTACTCTCTCACACACAGCTATGAAAATTCCAGAACTTGGAAGATGCTTCATGTTAGAAGAAATCATATATTATTTTGCTTGGTCATTAGATCCATAGCTGTATGGATGCAGTCAGTGTACTCTTCTAAAACAGTATGCTGAACAAAGACTCAAAAAATATTGTTTAGGAAAGAAAATTAGGTGGAGATATAATTTCCATACTTTGCAATAAGTATAGATTTTTTTTGTTAGACTTTACAAATTGTCAGAGTAATTCATTAAGTTTCCCATGTGCCAAGTACAAAATTAAGCAGAAAATTGTAAAATCAAAACTGTTATTTTCTGGACAGGACAGAAGAGGTTAGATAAGACCCAAAGTTGAAAAGAAAAGTAAAATAGTAGTAATTATGGGGGGGAAAAAAAAACACGGAGTGCAAGTATGTATCTGTGCATTTTCCTGCCAAGTGCCTCTTCTTAGTAATGAGGCAAGACGACTCTTGAGGGGGAAACGTGGAAATTTTCACCTTAATGCTTCTGTTTCACCCTTGATTATTTACTTAGTGTTCTTTTTCCCCCTCTATTTTAAAAATGGAATTATAAATTTGAATTTTTATTCTATCCCACAAGTTTTTTTTGAGGATAAATAAAAATACTTAATAAACAATGTTTTCATCTCAGTAAAGTATTGCTTTTTCTCTATGTTAAAATTAGGAAAACCCTGAATTTTTGTGTCCAGTTATGTAGTATCTCCTCACAAGTCACCTTTTCCCTTTTTTCTCTTCTTACTTATTTTTTAATTCAGAAAACAAATTCATATTTTACTTGCCTGTCTTTAACGGTTCCCAGCTTTCCGCTGCCTGGCACTGGTTTGTCACTAGTTGGTGTCACTGGTGTGCGGCTCCCACGCTTCTGGCCGGGTTTCCCTGCAGGACTCTAGGTTTGTGGGAAGCGAGACTGAGCGGCCGGAGACTCCCTGTAGTCAGCTGTGGAGGGGACTCTTCGGACTTTTGGAGAAGCAGATTTATGTTAGACCTGAGTGTTCAAAACAGGGCCTTTTAGGGCTGGGGATTCAGCTGTGGTTCTGCCACCTGCCTCACAAGCGCAAGGTCTCAAGTTCGATCCCCAGTACCAAAAAAACAAAATCACAGAACCTTTCTCCCATCCCCTCCTTGGAGTTGTTCTCCACCCTTACGTTCTTATTGATCCAGATAACTTAACTTGCTGCTATCCCAAGTAAAATGATTGTATTTTTGTTTTACTTATCCTAGTGATAAGGACAGAGCTATTTTCTATTGTACATATCACTTTTTCTAAGTAAGTAAGTAACTGAAATCAGCTGTACCTCAGTGGGTTCAATACCCAGTTTTTAACTTTAACTGTACCATTAATAATACATTAATATTTGCCTTCTGGAAGAAATTTGCAAGTTTGGCACTAAAGAGTATTGAGGTGACTTCATTTTCGAAAAGGCTGCCCAAGTGCCATTTTGTCTTTCCTTCCTTTCAAATTCCAATAAAAATGTCCCAAATTATAAAAAAGGAAAAATAGCTTCCCTGTATAAAAATTTCACTGTCGGTAGAGAAAATTCATGAGGAGATTGAAAAGCAGAACGTAATCATTGCAGAGAAAAATCGCAGGTTTTACCCAGGAAGTCTGGAGTTTTTCCACATCAGCAGAGAAGGGAGTAGGAGAAGGGGCAGGATATCAGGGTCCACCCAGGTAACAATGGACGGGTGCAGGTATGCAGCTTGGAGAAGGTGTCAGGCTTCAGGAACTGTTTTTGGCCTCTGTCCACAGACTGTGACCCAAGAGTAGTAGTCTAAAGTGTTAGCCATGACATGAGAGGCATCCAGAAAGCCTGTGGGTATCAGATTAGGTGATTATGCCCACTTTGAGGGACAGCCAGTCCTGTTCCAGAAACTAAGGTACTTCCATCCCCCTAAATTCTCAGTTTCGGGAGGGGTCAATCAATCAATAGAGTCTCATAGTTGCACTCAACACAGAAAGGGAAAGTATTATAGGTTCATGAAACAACCTATACTTATTGTCAAAGAATAGGACTAAAAATATAGGCTGAAAGGAGAATTTGGCTACTAAAGATGTTTTGCTTAAACTCTCAGCTAAAAAAAAGGCAGATGGCAGTGACAGACCACACACATGAAGACTGGACAAACATGGTGTTAAATCATGAATGAGAGGAAAATGTTAAAAATTGAATTACACTTTTTAGAGAAAGCCTAGGAACGAACCCAGGGGCTACTGCAATGGATTGAGCCAGTTGGGTGTTGAAAATTAAAACTCCGATTACTTAAATGAGCCCATAAGCTAAATGTCGAGTGGACAAAGAGAAGACTGATTAGTGAACCGTGAGCCTGAATCCTGAGGAGTAGTAAGAGACAAATAAAAGGGCCAGGGATTTAGCTCAGTGGTTCTACCGCCTGCCTCTCAAGAGTTCCATC